GCACTTCGTCCAACTTCCCCGAGCCCTCGGCCATCCTCTTCCTCCTTCGACTAACTCCGCCTAACATCGCCGCACTTCTGCTCCCATTGTCCCTACTTAGCCTAACTCCGTCTAACTTCGCCGTACTTCTGCTCCCATTGTCCCTACTTCGCCTAACTCCGTCTAACTTCGCCGTACTTCTGCTCCCATTGTCCCTACTTAGCCTAACTCCGTCTAACTTCGCCGTACTTCTGCTCCCATTGTCCCTACTTAGCCTAACTCCGTCTAACTTCGCCGTACTTCTGCTCCCATTGTCCCTACCTAGCCTAACTCCGTCTAACTTCGCCGTACTTGGTGTCAGAAGTCCTGAGTTACGTGTAGAGTAAAGAGGTTAAGGCGTGATGGGGTTTTGATGGCCAAAGGAGGGTCATTGTTGGTGGAGTAATCGAGGTGTCACGACGTAGTTCGTGACAATCGCCATCAGTAGAACAAAACCCTAGTTAGAGTAACTACGCCGAAGTACGTCGTAGTTACACTCCTTTCGACGTCTGCGCCCTCTCGGTTGGGTGAGACTTCGACTCAGGAGCATCAAGTTATCCGAGGTTCGTCGACCGTCGGTCTGCCAGAAGATAGTTGTTCGACGGCCGTGACAGAAGCAAGGGGTAGTCCGGAAAGTTCAGCCTGGGACTTCCCGGACACCGTACCCTTTACGAAATTCCGTAACTCCGGCAGTGGCGAGTTACCTTGCAGCATCTCCTCCGTCCTACTGTAGCAGTCGAGCAGTCTTCGATTGGCGGAACACAAGCTCCACACCATATCAACCGCCAGGATCAGACAGATCTCCACAACACTCGATGAGCCAGCGGTAGCTGAGGGCCAGGGCCGACAGTCACTCTAGGCATCAGGGAGAGATGCGAAACAACTTAGAAGGGGTGGGTCATGGGCGGGGAAATGCTATGTCAGTTCGACCCACACAGCCTTGTCATCTTTGCGACATGCGACTACTGGCCAGTCGTTAACGAGGTGCGGAAGGGAAGGGAATGATCGTCCAAGGCCGCTCGTCTGCTCGACTATTCGCTCCTGAAACGTCGATACTTTCTTTCACGTTCTCTCTTCAATTGCTTCTCTCTCATCTGGGGGGCCATGTCATTCCCAATGTGCGCCATCCCGGATTGTCCTCGCCTAGCCCTCCGAAGTCTTGGTCTCAGTAGCCAGATCTGTCCCACTTGTAACAAGAGCTATTGTAATATTCACGCAGAAACCCCTCGCTTTCATATGTGTCCCTATCGCCGTTCGGAACAGACCTTTGCCTTTCAAGATGCTGTCTCTGCAGAGCAAGTACGTTCACTTCAGTTTATTATTCAGAAATTGAAACTGATGCGCAAGGAGAAGCATCTATGGCTTCGTCTGACACGATCTCAACTCGTCAAAGAAGCTGAAGCTCTTCGTCCTGGACACGCTTGTAAAGGACCCGACGTATACTCGAGTTGGAACAGAAGCCGGATCTTCCTTGGAGGCTCCAACGTCCACATACTTCTCAACTTTGATGACGGTGTGCGATGGGTAGCCCGAGTCCGGCGAGAACGTCATTACTCCCCAGTGAGAGAGGTCACTTGGCTCAACATGCTTAGTGAGTTGGCGACCGTACAGACATTAGCAGCGGCAGGAGTGCCGGTTCCGAACGGTCGGCTTCCTCCTTCAGGACGAGATTGTGAGTTATTCTAGTTTTGCTATGGCTTTGAACATTGATCGGAAGTAATAAAGTCCGAGTTGTGCTACTTTTTTCAAGACTTTGTGGACGGGCAGCCGAAAGACGAAGAGATCCGACGCGTTAGCTCTGGTGGTCAATCTCATCTCTGGCCCGTACCTGAAATTGCCAGACTGGATCCCGAAAACATACGACCACGCTGTATGAAGGGTCTGGCGGAATGGTACCTGAAGTTGGAGCGTGTGACATTTGACAAGGTGGGAAGTCTACATTTCGAAAATACAATTGGGTCAAGCAGGGCTGTTGTGGGACCTCTGACAAGCCGTCATCCTGCACATCCCGAGCGACCATGGTTTCTTGGACCCTTCAATAACCCACAAGAACGATACCTATGTATCATTGACTACATACTCAATCTCATCGAGAAAGGCGTACACAATGTGCCAGCGACCGCGGTACAAACGTACCTTGCATACCGAGAAGCGCGGGATTTGGTTGAGGGATGCGAGGAGATGAAGACCGGACCGTTCTTCATCAAACATGGAGAGGAGAAAGGTGATCACTTTTTATTTGATCAGGAATGGAATGTGACAGCAGTGATTGATTGGGAATGGTGAGTCGATCTCGTTCTTGTTTAGTTTTGGTATGTATCGTTCGTGGAGGAGCTTATGTTTAAACAGGTCGTACATTTCTCACAAAGAGGAAGTATTCCAAGCACCCTCTTTCTTTCGTCATTTGGATTTCCGACTCAAAGGTCTCAATCAACCTTCCGAGTCAGAACAAGAATACGCAGAAGTTTTTCGAAGGCTGAATCGACCGGATATCGCCGACTGTATCTTATTCGGCTGTCGGAAATACCAAAGACTGGAAGATCTGCTCATTCATGATTTTCAGTTTGTTCATTGTCTCAACGCTATGCGACGCGCCTTTACTAAACTCCCTGACGATCATGCAGCCGCTCAGCCAAATACGATCTCAGCCTGGAGGGAAGCGGAGAAGAGAAAGCGTGAGGGAGATCCTGTGCTGTTGAGATTGTTGACAGAGGAAGCAGCCTGGGAGACGGGGCAAGCAGAGAGAGATGCAAATCTTCACGAATTTCACCAATGGGAGATCGAAGTCGAAACCCGTACCGCGCAAATTCAAAATCGCCCGCCATGCTCGATCGACCCGCCGTCACTCGCCAGGTCAGATCCTCTCACGTCATTCCAGCGTTTGTTGTTGTAGCCAATGCACTCTACAAAGCCTTATGCATAGGATCTCTACACCTACAAGACGTTTGCAACTCCACCCCAGTCGCGACTAATGCTTGAGACAGCTGGGATAGTTCAGGGTGAAGGCAGTGGCTGATGGAGCAGAAGTGGTAGGCAATTTCAATTCTCTCTGGGCCGTCAGCACGTTTATAACAATGGATAATGAAACGTACCCTTCCTCATGCCCATCCATGGCCCTGTAGCTATTTATATCCTCTGTAAACTCTGAGGGTCGGGGCCGCTGGAGCCTTGACCGAAATCCATGTCTACAATCGACAGCCTAAAGAGAAGTGACAAGGTGTCGTTTTATCTTTCTGGTCGTTTGGTTGCGGATGTATATGCTTTCGGCTACTCGAATCGAGCAGGCTTCTTCACTTCAGCGCCGGAGCCATGAGGCCAATTGGGGTCTGTGACCCTCTTCACTTGCGGCATATTCGAGATTCTAGCCCGTCGACGTACCCCGCTCTCCGTGTCGTTTCTGGGGGACCACTGGAGTAGGGTTCTTGCGTGACGTTCCGATCGAAGAATATCATTGATACAGTAAGAGGTGGACATGTCTCATCCGGTAACGACCCAGTCTTATCATTGTCTCCCTGGCCTATCCGAATCTACGAATTGTCTTCATGCCTGTCATTTGACTATGAAAGACTAGTATTTTCCATCTCGTCGGACTAAAAGCCTTCAGATCGCAAAATGTCGAGTGGGACCAACCCGATGTAGTTCCCGGCTCACGGCAGAAGCATGTTCGTACCCTTTTCTGCCCACTTAGTCGTAATCGTACTCATGCTTGACGTCGTATTTCCTTTCTGAATGGCTTTACTTAAGGCAACACCTGACTTTGTCGTCCTTCAGTCAGAGAGTATGTATCGAGAATTTTGTGTGAGAACGATGACTTGTTAGAGTCGCATCACACCCCTTTTCCGGGCAATGGCAGATTCCTCGCTTCTGCCTCTCTCCTCTTCATCGCCTTCTTCTCCAAAGCCGCCTCTTCTTTGTCCGCTTTCTTCCTACCGGCTATACCTCCATGTTGTGCCGCGCATCTTAAAGTCAGCTCTAAACCTCCTACTGAAACATCAGAACCTACAGGTATGCTGCAATCTCCCCAGCTGTCAATCGATCCACTGAGATCCTCCTATTCCATAACCATACCTCCCCAGGCAAGCTATCAATTCTCGCCTTCCGATCGTCTCCGGACTGCTCCTCGATTTCTGTTTCAGAGCTGGAGCTAGAGGCCCTAGCCATTGAAAGCAACATCTTCATCTGTTTCTCCGTCGCTGGTCTTTGCCGCCATGGAGCATATCGCGATAGACTTCTTATCAATTTCAATGTCACGCTTAGGGCAACATGAAGCAATAAAAGAAAGGGATCTGCGGAGGGGAGATGGATCAAGGAACAGGGAGTGTTTCGAAGTGTTGATGACTCACTGTGATGATAATTCTCTACCTAACTTTTTCTCTGCGAACGCATCGGCAGATTTCATCGCTCTCTCCAGATCATCCGCATATGCTACGATTATCGGTCTGGCGAATGGGATTCTCGATTTTGAGTATCTAGATAATTTCCTTCGATAGGTGATACACCAGGTGTCTTCATCCTCTTGCCGTTCGATAGAGATCCAACCGTGATTTCCTTGAATCCATCAATACCCACTCTGTTCACAAACCTGAAGGCACTAAAACTCACCCATGAGTTCCAGAGCGTATTTGTCTTTCCCACAATATACCCAAGCGTTTGTTGACATCCGTTTGACTGGAATATATGATCGTGATGTTAAACCGAAGGGATCTTCATTATCTATAAAAGTGATTTTTCGTGGTTGAAGTTGTGCTCGTTCTTCTTCTTCATCTCCTGGGGCAATTAAGTCGGGTTCATCCTGAGAAGGACTGCGTGAATCGTCGCGAGTTATATCATCATGTGATAAACCCCACAGAGTGGGACTAACGATCATACCATTGGTCCGAGACATGCTATCGACTATGTCGATGATATGACAATCTTCTTTCCCTGTGTCTGGAGAGAGACGTAAACCTCGACCGACCATTTGAGCCAGGAGGTTTTTACTTTTTGTAGGTCTTGCAAGGATAATACAATCGATCTGCCATCTCAACGTCTGACTTTATATTCTTTCACCAAGATAGGTTTCAGGGACTTTCCGGGGGGGGGGGGGGGAACTCACTTGAGGTATATCAGCTCCTTCTGTCAAAACTTCGCAATTGACCAACACCGAAAATTCTCCTCTCCCAAAGGCAGCAACGGTTTCTTTCCTTCTACTAGCTTGTGTGGCACTTGAAACCGACCTCGCATCCACCCCAGCGTTTCTAAAAGCTTGTGTCAAATTATCCACATGACTCAAATCCACACAGAATATCAGAGTACTTCGTCTTTCTTTTGCTCGACGAAGATAAGTACCAACAATTAAGCGACTGATCTCTGGAGTGTTGATATGAAGTGCTAAGGAATCGGTACGATAATCTCCTGTAGAAGTAAGTTTGACAGTATCCAGGTGAAGATCACATTGGATCGTGGTGGATTTTACTGGGGAGAGCCATCCGTCTTGCAACATGGAAGATATTTCCGTATGAAAGACGATATTTTCGAATACTGCACGAAGGGCAAGTTGATCATGTCGAGAGAAAGTAGCTGAAAACCCGATGATTGGAACTTTGGAGCCGTGTGATTGTCTAAGTATAGATTAGCATATCAACATCTTGACAGCTCGACGGTGTGGACGAAGAGGTGAACTAACGATGTGATAGGTGATATGGTGGATGGCAATTGAACATCCTCGTTGAAGTAATGCAATATGCGTAGATACCTATTGACTCAGCATGAGAACTCTGAGATGAAGGAGAAAGTAGTCGATTTGAGCTTACGAGATAGCAGCGGCATGATGAGCTTCGTCCACGATAATCAATTTGAACTTTTTCGGATCAAACTTTTTCAACCTCTCAATACTGTTGAGAGTCTGATAAGTCGCTATTGTCCTATGAGTTAGATCTCATCCATCCCACAAAGAGTAAGTGGAGATGTAAGGTGCAATGTGACTTACACATTTGCCATACCGCTAGCTACCCGTTTAGACTGTTCCACTTCCACTGTCCATTCTTCCCCCAACAGTCTCTTAGCAGCAGATTCAGCTTGATTAGCCAGTTCAACACTTCCAACAATAATCATAGTCCTTCCTCTTCCATCGACCCCTACAGAAGTTTGAGGAGATATCTTGGGGATAAGACTCATGAACATGGTGGTCTTGCCGCTTCCTGTGGGGGAGGAAACGCCAATACGGGTCAAACCGGAGGTAAGGGCTGATAGACATGCTTCTACCGCTGTGTGTTGGTATGGTCGCAGCACTGTTGTTTGAGGTCGTGGCTCCTCGGGTGGCAGAGGAGAGAGGACAGGTGGGGTGACGTCGGGATCATGAAGGGGTGAAGGGAGGGCTGAGAATGGCCGGATGGAAACATGATGGTATGGCCCGAATCGGTAGACGGGAGGGAGTATGCTCAGGCGAGTGACAGCTGTTAACCTGGTGAAGAATGATATACGCTTTGCTGCCATGGCAGTAGCATGACGATAAGAGGTAAGTTTAAGAGTGGAACGGATGAAACGTTTGGGGTAAGCAAGCGATTCGAGGTGTCATCTCGTGCCTAAGTGTTTCTTCCTTGTCAAATGCATGACTTCATCTTCCACAACTTCTACTAGCAATCGATAACTCAACTATTCCAGGCTATAAACTTTTCGTTTTTGCCTATTCCGTTGTCTCATAGCTTCATGTGATCAATGTAACCCATGGGAAACGATGGAGAGACAATCTGAGTCAGGTCAGCCTGGACACCCACTCTCTCTCCTTTTCAGTCCACTCAACTCATTCACCCCGACAGGGAAGATAAAAGGAACGACGAAGAGACAGTGAAAGAGAGACCACAGACTCACGGATTATACAAGCGACTTCTCCTCGATCTTTCATCTTATTGCAAGGTGGACTCGAGCTATCACCCCTGATGGAAGAGATAGGACAACGACCTTCGTCTGGGAGTTGCGTCGACCTTGTCCTTGAATATAAGTCGTGTATACCAATCTCTACATTTCACTGTACTCCTACTCCATGTTCTCACACTCATATCTTTGTGCTTGCCCCTGCTTGCCCTGCCATTTTTTCCAAGAACGAGACGACTTCTCCACACTCTAATCAACATGATACCCAACTTGTACGAGGATAGAAGTAGTATGTGGTGATATATCAGAAGACAAAATACGTTTCCACGGATAAATAATCATGAGAAGAAGGAGAGAGAAACTCACTCTGGTCCGGATCCTACATATTTGAAAGGATCGGCTTCAGTTTCAGGATCATGATAACTCTCATTCTTATTCATCCCCGTCTTCTTCTTTTCTTCTTTCTCTTTGGTCTGCTTCTCGTCTATCTGTTTCTCATTCGTCTGTTTTTCGTTTCCCATCTTGATACCTGTGATATCGATCAGAATTCCGGATGAGAAGGAACGGTTTGATCAAAGTCAAATAAACGTTTGGTGTTGTCTTGTTAGGCCAGAAACAGTCATTTTATGTACCCATTCTTACTATGTTCATCCAAAATAAACAGTGGGAGGGACCATTGATTCGGTGCTTCTCCCGCTGTTCTGATGTCATATGAGAAATACACCTTTGAGTATTTCGGGTTCTTCGCTTTATGTGACATTATTCGAGGGTTGCGAGTTTCCTTGCGATATCATTACAGTCGTCGGAGAAGGGATTGGCTACATTTGTGTGAGTATACGTACACCAAGGGATGGATTAGGTGGTTGAATACGTCGATAAATTGACAAGGATGGTGAAAAAAGAACCTGTCTGGTAGCCCCGGGATAACGTCCATAGATCCTTTTTCCCTTTCACTACATTCATCCTCCTTCTACTCCTATGAGATTCTCTGCTCATTCAGTTTTATAGGCATATCAGGTTGAAACGATGTCTCTCAGAGAAATTGAAGCCCGTCGACATGATTGCTATCGAATCGTCAACCATGTTCACCATACCAGCTTACATAAGAAGTGGGGAACGCCACGTCAAACCTGAACCCCGAAATTTCGTCTTCTCTCTCTATCTCTCTCTCTTTCTCTCTCTCTGTGATCTCTGATCTCTGACGTCCCACTTTCCAAACGTCGAGGGAATTCAAATGGTGAGTCAAAGCCTTGTATTTCCTCTCTATGTCCATACCTCTCTTCTTCTTCTTCCTTATTCATTCTCTTCTCCTCATTCTTGAGAAATGACTTTGACACGCGCACCCAAGCCTTCCCAAATTTCAAACACCTCTCCTCCCTCCACCATCTCATTCTGCTCTACCTAATTATCCACCGTATATCAAAACACACCTCGCTCTCTAGAATTGTCTACCGTCCATCGACCCTCTCTGTTTTGGTCTTCCATCTCCCTAGTATTCCCGTACCGCTGTCGTCAGATGAACCCCTCTACAAGATGACACAGTGAGACAATTTGCACGTCAGTACGACGACCAAACTATTGATGTTTGATCGAAAGTGTTATTCCTCGCTCTATCTGAAAAATCAGTTTCTATCTTCAATTCATACTAAAATCCATCTAAGGCCGTTCGCTGACAGATAGGACCGCTCTTGTTCATTTACCTATTTATATCCGCTTCATCTTTCTTCATCTTCACATAAAATTCTTCAACCTACTGACTGATACCTAATCTATTCTAATCACTACATAGAACGCCCTTCTTAGTCCTGATGTATCAATATATCCTTCTGCCTCTCCTCAATCAGCATTCTTTGATTGGACGTTATGATGACCAGACCACGATGATGAAACGACGGACGATAATAGGGTTACAACGGCTTTCGGAGTAAGTCGATTGGTCGGATGTAGGAGAAGGAACGGCGTGATGTTTCTGGGAAGGATGAAATCTAGAAAGTATCGAGTTGAATCATGGATCACTCGATACCGCTCATAAACCCCGGTAAAGGCTCACGGGGACTTCTTCCTTGTCATGCTCTTCCTCCTGGTCATTCGGTATACCCGAATAGCCTTACTTGGTAATGAAACCCCCTAGTG